TTGTAAATAAAAGTAAGCTTTGTTCACCACTCACAATCATAGAATTGACTTTTCATGCTTAATGGTTTTCAAATCCAGTTTGCATCCAAGTAATATTATACAATAAATTATTCGTTCGGCCTTATTTTACATATATTTTTAAATTTTACTGTTTTATAACCTTTGTAATGGGGAGTGGGGGAATTGATGGGATTTGGGAAGTGTTTCAGAAGGAGCCCTCCCTAGTTGTAGAAAGTATTGGCAGTTCTTGACTTAGATCAAAATTGAACCAAATTTCCGTTGCTAAGTGAGTCAGTTGTTAAGTGAGTTTTGTCCCACGTTATGACTTTTCTTGCCATAGTTGTTAAGTGAATCACTTCCGATATTTAGTAACAGGGCTGTTAAGTGATTCTGGCTTCCCCATTGACTTTGCTCATCAGTTGGATGATCGCTACGATGGATGACATGACTCTGGGACCCTGAAACCGTCACAAATACAAATCAGTTGGCAAGTCTCTGAATTTTGACCACATGACTATGGGCATGCTGCAGTGGTCATAAGTGTGGAAAAACAGTCCTAGGTCAGTTTTTTTCAGTGCCATTGTAACCTTGGTCAGTAAACAAACTATTGTAAGTCGAGGACTACCCGTTGTAACCCTGTCTGTATCGCTTAGGAACAGCAGTTCTGAGCGTCGTGGTTGCATTCATTAAGCCACAGCTCGTTTCTCCTCAGGCGAAGTGAACCACAGTGGCAGAGACCAAATAATTTTATAATTATAAACTGGTTCATTTACCGGGCTTTCTCAGAGCTGAGCCCGTCTCTACCCCCCTGGCCTGTTATCACCATTTTTAAAGAGAAGCTACACCATTAACGTTATACAAATAGTCCTCGACTTACAACGGTTTGTTTGCCAACCATTTGAAGTTACAACGGCACTGGAAAAAAGTGACTTATGACCACTTTGCACAGTTGTGGCCCCTCACGGTCACGTGATCAAAACTCGGCCGCTTGGCAAGTGGCTCGTATTTCTGACGGTTGGGCCAGGGTTCCAAGTAATAGACCCAGAGCAAGCAAAACTCTGAGGCAGGTAGATTCCTCAAAGAACAGCTTTCTTGGAGATATCGTATTGGCACAGATCTGGTGAAAACCTAATTAAAAGTAAAAGTTTGTCATTTTCTCAAAAGAATCTGTCACATGGTCCAATCACGGCGTTCTCTGGTTGCCGGGTGACCTCACTCCTCCTCCTTCCTGAGAATGTCCTTGGTTCCCAAGAGGAAGCATTTTGTTTTGGCTACAAAACCCCAGCTAACTCAAATCCCCCCTTCTCTATCCCTCAGCTCCAGTGTGACAACACTAAACCTTCCAAGATGGTTTCTGTCAGGTCAGCTACAGAGGTGACAGGTTGCCCTGTGCCGGGGTCATGTGGTCCCCTTTTGCGCCCTTCTGACGAGCAAAGTCAATGGGGAAGCCGGATTCACTTAACAACTGGGTTTACTAATCTAATAACTGCAGTGATTCACTTAACAAACGTGGCAAGAGAAGGTATCAAATGGGACAAAACTCACTTAAGAAATGTCTCACTTACTAATGTAAATTCTGGGCTCAGTTGTGGTCGTAAGTCGAGGACTACCTGCAGAGCACTGTTCCTTAACTTTTACAGCTTGAAGCTGTGTGGACTTCAATTCCCAGAATTCTCTGGTCAGGATGCTTTAAGATATGTGGAGTTCACATCCTGGCTGAGGAATTCTGGGAGTTGAAGTCCATACAACTTCAAGCTGCCAAGGTTAAGAAATCCTGATACAGGTATCTTTTAATGGCCATTTGAAGTTACAATGGCACTGAAAAAGTGACTTATGACCAATTTTCACACTTAACGACTATTGCACGGTCACGTGATCAAAATTCAGGCGCTTGGCAACTGGCATGTACTTATGACGGTTGCACTGTCTTGAGGTCATGTGATCACCATTTGTAACTCTCCCAGCTGGCTTCCAACAAGCTAAGTCAAGGGGTGGGGAGCCTGATTCGTGGGGAGCCTGATTCGCTTAACGACCATATGATTCCCTTAACTGCAGCGATTCCCTAAACAACTGTGGCCAAAAAAAAGGTCGTAAAACGGGGTGTATCTCCCTTGACACCTGCTTTGCTTAGCAACAGAAATTTTGGACTCCATTGTTCTGGTGGTAGTACATCAAGGATTACCTACAGCATTGTTGCTTTTCTTTTTAAAGTGTAAACTGCCCATCGGTCTTTCAGGAGTCTGTCAACCGATGATGATGAAGAAGAAGAAGAAGAAGATGGCGATGCCCTCTTGCTTTCCCATTGCCATTTTCCAGCTTCTCCTTCCTTGGAAGTCTCGTGGCTGCCGTAGTACCAAACCTGCCGATTCTTCCCTGTAGTCATCTTTCAAATTCGTTTTTTCTTTCTTTCTCTGGTGACAGGGCAAGAGGTGGTGGATGGACACCGATGAACCCTGGCAAGTTTTGGCGTGTTCCATGGAGATTGCGAAGGCGGTGCGATCTCCCGATCCTTCTGAATACATCTCCCATTTTCCTGTTCATCAGGTAGAGAGCCTTATAGGATAGAAATATAGGAGTAGAGTAGAGTAGAGTAGAGTAGAGTAGAATAGAATAGAATAGAATAGAATAGAATAGAATAGAATAGAATAGAATAGAATAGAATAGAATAGAATAGAACAGGGAATAATAGAGTTCGAATAGAATAGAATAGAATAGAACAGGGAATAATAGTGTTAGAATAG